TCCCTATAGAGGCAGTGTATTTTAACTATAACCATATTCCAACTAATACAAAAGTAAATATACTACCTGAAATACAGAAATCTTCCTTTGAATGGAATAAAAAGAAATCAGTTTTAAAAAATGACTTGACAAATTATCAGTCCAACCACATAAGGACCCCCGTATACACGACAGAATTAACAGAAAAGGAACGTTAAAGGTCAGTTTAATACGTAAGAAATGTAGGTTGTTTAAACTTAGATCCTCAGAAAGCATCCAGTGAGTTAAGTCTCTTTGAAAATGGTACTCAGTGACCCAACATGGGCACTGGGAAAAAACACAATGCAGGATCTTCACACTGCAGAAATTCAGTAATCGGAAGCTAACAAGTGTGTTGGCTACTTAGGGTCCCAGCCACAGTAAACGTGTTTAAAGAAGAAAAAAGAAAACCTGAGTTCAGAGCATCCAATGGCCACGTGCCTGAACTCTGGGCTTTTGGCTTCTTCACTGAAGAAACTGCACCCTTTGAAATGGACCCTTAATACTGTGTCTTCGTTCTGCGCTAGGAAGAAATACTGGCAACAGCCAACTGGGAAAAGGAAATTGGCCAACAAAGCTTCAAAAAGGAAAGGGCCACAGGAAACACACATTAACTTGAAATGGAATGCAAATACCAACTGGCTCGCATTAAAGGCGTTAGGATCAGTGTTTTTAGCAGCTACACTGGCACCAAGCAGACCCAAACAAATCTTACGGCACAGAGTCAAAATACAGCTTTTACCTGGCATACACATAAAAGAAGACGAACTGTATGCTTCAAAGAAGGCTACCACCATGCTTAGGACTGGTACTACAGATCAACTTGCACTCCCCACAAACTCACAACTTTTTTAAGGAGATGGGTACAAGAGCTAACTCATGTCTGGCAATACAAGTGTTATCAGCACAGTTCCATCTGGGACAGCTGATTCCAGCAAGTTAAGGCCCAAATTTTCAGTCTATCCTTCCAAATTACACATACCATGGATCTATCAGATCTGCTTTTTTAATAATCTAATTTAAATACCAAAATTGTAAAAAAATATCATAGAAATGAACTTCTTTATGCTGGAAGTAGAAATCTACTTACATACTCTCTACTGCCAGAAATGGCTGGTGCTACAATGTCTGGTATCAAGGCAATGTAGGAACAGATTTTGATCTGATATTACTGTCTTGTATATAACGTACCAGTACTACATACACAGAGCATAATTTAACCTTTGTGCCAAGGTTTAATAACCATCTTGCACTTTGGATTGTTTTAACACGAAGAAGAGAAAACGTTCCCAAATACTTGTTAAAAAATGGAGGAATTCCCATACGGATTGCCTGTTAAAGAGTTTGCACAAATTCACAGCCACAATTCTTCAGTAGTTTATGCTGCAAGTGGCACACAATACATGTTTAGCATCTATAAAAAAGAACCAGAAATACCTCAATAACTCCGACATCAGGGATTTCCCCAAGTTTACACTACTTTTCTACTGCATTTTGCATTTTCCTACTAATATCAAGGAACAAGTATCAAATAAATCCTGGTCAGGAGCACACTGTCAGACTGATCCTTGACAGAACATGGCACTTTGCAGTGTGTGTTGCAACAGCCTGCCCTTCTCACATGGGAAGTTCGGAGTGCAGCTTAAAGCACCCTTTAAGTATTTAAACATTATTAAGGGTTTGGGTTTCTTTTTTAAAATTTAAACCAGCAGAGTGGTTTCCAGTCAGGTGCTGTTGTAACATTTAATACTTAAAGTCACCACTATGCAGAAGAGTCAGCACAGAATGAATAAATATATATATATACACACACACACACACATATATATATACATGCATGCATATCTATATATATATCTATATACCTCTCCTAGTATATACCTGTACATATATATAGATATATATACACGCTACTTAAGACTTAGGTTGTTATAAAAGCTTACTTAGTCTCCTTGCAGAGGTATAAGTTTCAGTTGTAACATTTTCTGGGCTCTGTTAAAAAATACTAATTAAACAGTATTTTCCCAAATAAGCAGATCATTTGCTGTATTTTTCTTAAGCAAGCAGTGCTTCCTGTATAGAAGACTGACCTTGGCATTGATTTCTCATATTTGGTATTTCCTAACTGTCAGTTACTTGAGTGTAGAAGATGCACTGGGTAATGTAATCTGATTGAAATTAGAAAAAAAAGCAGAAGTTAACCCAAACAGAAATGAATATACTGTACTTGTGTAAGTAGTGCAAGCCACTGCTTTTCCTCTGAGCAATGTGCATACAGTGAAACAGTGCAGACTCAAAGCCATACAGTAACATTATTGTAACCACAGTGATTACCAGAATTAAGTCAAAACTGGATGTCAAGCACAATTTTATCTTCATAGAGGGCAATCACCAGCATGATGGCAAAGCCAAGAAGCAGGCCTAGGTTCTGAAGAATGAACTGCCCCACAGGACAATAACCATGCTCTTCGTTATCTCCATCTCCATGAAGCATTTCTGGAAGCTAAAAGGAAAAACAATTTAGAAAGTACTCCGTTTATACACAAGACAAGTTTACAAGATAATATTGTCAAGAATAAACACCCCAGGATTCAGTTAGAAAAACAATACATTGAGACATAGCTAAAACTCTACTTAACCACCACATTTGATAAAAACATGATTCCATCTGGTGTTTACAAAGCAAACCAAAATGCCTTTCCTTTGGATTTCTTTTAAGCTTTTACTAAATCACACATCTACTTGAACTGTAAGTTCCTCAAGATAAGGACCAGCTCAGAATTCTTCACGTTCAGCTCTTTTGAGTTCTTTTATTACCCAATTAAAATTAAGATAAGCTCAAAAAACCAGAATAAAGAGCTGTGACTATTTCACTAGTAATTACATTGCTATAAATACAGCCTTTATAATGACTTTGCTGATTAACTTAGCTATTCATTTGTCATGTTACATGCTTCCACACCTTCACAAACTGTTCCCTTTTAAATATGGGAATAACAGCTCTAAGTACTTCAAGATAAATTGTATGTGAAGCTAAGAAAAATTCTGAAAGCTCTGGATATTCCCTGAATTTCTCACCTATGGAGAAAAGTAAAATAGCACTGACAAAACCAACACCTAATAGTGGACTTGGAAGACGTAAAAATGAATCGTACTGTCTTACAAAGTCACCCATTCATAACAGAAATAACTGAAAATATTTTATAAAGAAATTAGTTTTAAAATTCATGCCATAAACAAAAAAACTCTTAGCACAGAAAAAGAATACAGAACAAAATGAAATCTTCAGGTGGAACACAGCTTAAGTGTCTCTATATATGGCTCCTGGTTACACAGCCTAGAACAGGTTTGGTTATACTGAGTAACTGAATACTGCACAATGGAGAACAAGAAATTATCAGAGCATCAAATCTGTTAAAAATACAAATATATTGCCCATCTGGTCTTGCATTACTGTATTTCAAAAAGATACATAAATCTGACAATTAATTTGACCTGGTGAGTAAATGTAAAAAACATACTGGTGTGAAAAATGTTTATCACCTGTGCAACAGACCAGGTAGCTCAACAGCACTTCACCACATTACAAAATACCATGAAGTAATGAAGAATAAATGAAGTTATCACAGACTTTACACTGGTGAAGATTGCTATGTAGGTTTCAGGTTGGCAGACAGGATTTGTTGCCGAATTATTTGCTTTTTAATAAATCAGAGTTGTATTCATTACATAATTAAAAAATGTAATCAGAGAGTTGTGCTAGAATTGCTGCTGCCAGTTCTCACGTTCATGTTTTTTGAATGGAAGATCTGCACACAATTCAGGCTTTGTAATCAACTTCTACAGAGACATATTACTGTTCCAAATCTAAAGGTGCTCTTAAGAATATTAAAGAAAATCCTGGCACCCATTTCAAAACCTAGAAAGGGCACAGTGCTCTGTCTCCTTAAATCCCAAGGTTTCTGGTCATGGACATGATAAGGAATAGAGTATGATGAGTAGAAGTTGAAGACTTGGCTATGGACAGTGAAAGTTGCCATATATCCCCAAAACTGTGGGACTGAACAGCAAGTAAAAGGCCCCTTCAGAACACAGAAAAGGTTATTTAACAGTAACCTGTACTATGGTCACACTCCCCCTCACTGTCTTTAAAATACCTCTCTATTTTTACTGTTGCTGTATCAGAAGAGGCTCGTGTGCCTCTCTGTTCTGCTCAGAGGCTGAGTATACAAGCAGAGCAAGGCCAGTGCCACTCTGCTGTCCCTCAGCTGCAGAATCCCTGTGCAGAAAGGGTCCTGGAAAGACACTGAGAGGGAAGGTGGAAGGAGGCCGTGCACTGCAAGGACTTTTTACTGGCAAAATCCCTTCCTTCCACCTTTGAGATACACCCCCCCCAAACATATTAGCACTGTAGGAACCTCTTGCATAATCACATTCACTTGGAGGCAAAACTCACTGAGGTACTTCATTTCAGCAGGTGCTGCCCAACTGCTCTACACAGCACCACTTCAACCCCGCAATGGTGCAGTAGCTAAAGAAGGTAGAAAGAGAACTTCAGAGAGCAGCTTGGCAGCCCTGAAGAAGAAATTATTCAGAGAAGCCACAGATGTTTTTTTAAGATCTGGTGGAACATGCTCTAGATGAAAGAAAAAAAGGCTTTACCACCTCAGCATTACTATAATGGGCTTTAACACTTTGACAGCCTATCTGAAGATTACTACACTTTTTGCTTTATTACCTATTGCTGTGGCCAATTTCAAGGACCATATAAAGAGTCCTATCAACAGAGATAAAGTTACACCGTCTTGAAGTTGAAAGCTTATAGTTTTAAGCCTAAAGATATAAGGAACAAAAAAATGCAACAGATAAATTTGTTTTCCTGTAAGATGAAATTACTAAAGTTAGACTGGAAAGCAATACAGGAAAATGTAATGCACCCATTCAAACCAGCTGTGAGGCAGGAGGATATTAATGTTTTTCTTCCAATAGTTATCACCAAATTGTCATCATGGAAGGTCTGGAGGATTCAAAACAGCCCAAGTTTATGTTCTACTGGAGAAGAGTATCCTTACCACTAGAAAACGTGCAACTAGACAAACTTTGGGATGACTGGATGCAAAAACACAAAGAGATCCACTCTCAATGAGCTGGTGTAAGGAATGGATAGAAAATTGCACCTACGTGAACCTCTGTGAAGCTAGGGAAGAATCAAAAGCTGTTCTTGTGATAACAAGAAAATAAGGTCTTTGAGAGGGAGTACTAGGAAAGAGTAGTTTGCGAATGAAGCAGTTTTTGTGTTTTAACAGGAGTCACTGGCAGACTTTGGTAGCAGAAACCCAAACAGGCAAGCTACTATAAAACCTCACTGCAACTCTCAAAGTATCTGCAACGTCATAGAACAGATACAGCCATCTCCTGTCTACAGATATTTTACAACTTGTAACAAAAAAGTTCTCTCACTGGTGCCATTTCAAGTCCTAGGTTTTATGCATGGAATGCAAAACGCACAGAGTCACAACCATCTTACCATGTCAACCAAGGCCACGTAGAGGAACATGCCTGCAGTGATGGCAAAGATCCACAAGGTGATGTTATTAGCATACTGTCCCACCGCCGTGCCTATCAGCATCCCCACGTAAGCCATCATGGCAGACAGGACGTTGTACACAATAGCTTGCTTTACTGTCATCCCTGCTTTAAGAAGCACAGCAAAGTCACCTGAAATGGAGAGAGAAGACATGGGTTTAGTACCGGTGCTTCTTGGGGAGTGAGCAGATACATCAGCCTACATTTACTATTTCACCAATCCAAGGCATTGCCAAAGTAAAAATGCTGCTACAGAGGCTCAGAGGAAGACTGGGCAACAGATTATGAGAACTCTTATAAGAACTGTATTTATGTGCAGCAATCCCTTGATTAAAATATTATTTAAAGGTGCCTATTTATCATGCTGATTGTCAGAAAGGTAGTAGGTATTAATGGTTCAAGGTAAATGGAGGCGTAGCACATAAAAACAGAGGCTTAGTTTTGATCAATACCTGTGAAAATTCCTTTTAGCAATATACACCTCATTCTCCAAATTGAAGAGGACAGTAACGAGGCATTAGGCCTCTCAGAAGGTGACAATGAAGTTGAGTAATACAGCACTAGGAAAAGGAGGAGTTACATAAAGAAAGAATGAATTCACATCCATGCTGAATTGGTTTGGTGGTTTAAGACATGCCAGGTTACCCTAGTTTATTTTGAATTCAGGATAGCTCTGCTAAAATTGCTGTTGGAGGTTCATGTTCTATACAGATCTAAATTTTCATCTTGTAATCAGATCTTATAGCTTAACTCTCTTCAAACTTAACTCTTGTGAATATGAGGAGTGAATGAAGATACTCAGTCATGAGGGCAATTAATATCATATACTCATGTCAGATATACTAGAAATTAATTGCTCACTCTAGAACCAAAACCCAGAATCAAAATGAAAAATACGTGGAGTGAACTACTCATTTCTTATACAAGGTTAATTCAATCATGTTAAGCAAGTTCTAAGCACACCAAGGTATTGCAATCCTTCATGCACTGCAGCAGCTCCCCTTACCCAACCGCTGTGTAGCAGCAATGTCAAACCGTCAACATCTGCTCTGTTACTTCCAATCTGTGCCCACTATATACCTTACACTTAGTATCCACCTCTAGAAAATGCTCTAAGGATGTTTGACGTACTTTTTTTACCTTACTTTTAATAATTCAGAGCTAGCAGCTCATAAAGTAAATGAACTGTGAGAACATCCTGAGTTCAATCTTGCACAATTTCACATTACTGGTGAAAAAATTCTTGTCAGGATGAGAATTGCAGCTGCTTTTAGATACCTATTTTGTACAGATGAAAAAACTAAACACATTGAGTTTATTTAGTTAGTTACCTAATTCATGGGGAAGCTCATGACAAAATACTGCTATAGATGTACTAATTCCTCCTGTCAGTCCAGCACTAAAAGCTGCACCTAGAAAGAAAAAAATTTTGAATGATATTTTACTATTTTCAAGTCAGAAAATAACAGACTTTCCAGAGATAACACCCTTCTGCTACAATGCATGCTTTCATAGTTTTTCATTATGCCTCTGTCCTGAGCTGTCTGTATATAGACTGAAAATACTGGAACTATCCTGGGTGTGCACTACCACTGCATACTTACTGCTCAGTTTCTCTGAAAGACCAATCCTGAGAGAGAACACAACTGAGCAAAACAGGCATAAAGGCAACAAGCTAATAAACAGCACTTCTACATTTTTAGAAACTCTCATTACATCAGGACATTTAAGAATGCACTTGAGCAACAGTCTAGTTCTCTCTTTTACAGTTTGGAAATCCAAACTAATATTCGATCCGTAACCTCTCTATTTTCTTTATAGTTATTTGTACAGCACATATCAGCAACATTAATAAGCCAGACGTGGAAAATAACAAGGAGAAAAACATTGTCATAAACCTCTTTCAGTAATTTTTGTGTAAGCCAATTTCATTACATCATTTTTAAGTTCATACTTTAAATAAATCTGAGATGACATGTTTCAGTACTGTAGCAGAGGAAGGCACAAGAAGAGCCTGCAGTGAGCAGTCAACACAGGCAAAATGAAGCAGAAAGAGAAGACACAATTGAAGCCAGAGAGGAAACTTAGCTTTCCTCTTGATTCCTCATAGCTTGATTTATTAAAAAGACAAACATGCTTTTCTAAAATCTGTATTTTGCCAAAGGATCAGCTGTTTGGGCTTGACAAGGGAGAATTTAGAAATGGAGTTTCAAGACAGTGAAATTCTCAATAGATGGTGTAGTGATCCTTTTTGGCCTCAGAAGCCACTGCCTAAATGTCTTACCTGTTTAATGTGAAAATGAAGCAAGAAGTTAGTTTTTATGGAGTACAGTTTCTTTAGAGATTGTTTGGAGAAAGTGGAGAAACTGTAGCAGACGCCATTGTTAACTCCACACCCTACTAAGCAGCTCATCTCTCATCCTTCATAATGGGCGTGATCCTTCTGCTAGCAACTCAGAACCCTGTGTACTTAGTAGCTACCTTAGTAAAAAATTAAAAGTATGAGCTTCAGCACTCTCACCATCATGACTTGTATGACATATATTCAAATTAATGTGCGTTACAGTTTAAATCACATTTAGAGTTTTATGTGAATAAAAGTTGATCTAATAAAATCTGTCTGGTTCTTTCAATTTCTTCTACATTTGGCTAGAAATAAATCTATACTGACTATATAGTGGCTAAAACAATACTTTGATCAAACAAAACCAAATTATCCTTAGTACTTTTTAAAAACCCTGCATTTTAGTAATTCTATGTATTAATAATAATAGAAAGAGTAATAATAGATGAATATACATAAGGTTGAAAGCACTTATTTATTATTCAAAGGCAACTACAAACCTCACATGAGCTCCACAATTCATAGGGAGGTTTGCCTGCACCTGTCTTTGTTTGGCAGAGATTGCTATTGTCGCTACTGTAGTCTGAGTGGAAACGGTCACAGAAGATCAACAAAGGGAAGAGTATTACAATTGATGACCTTTTGATTTCTGCTCTGAAGGAGATGAAACAATGCCAGTAACTGCAGGAGCTAACTGGAAGCCCTACCTGTGATCACTGATAAATAATACATCACCAGGGTTATTAAAGGCAAGAAGAACTGTTGAGAAATACTCAGTGCTTCTGCTTACCGATTGCTAAGCCATCACTGAAGTTGTGAATGCCATCTCCCATAATTACCATCCAAGCAATATTAGCTATCCCAGTATCTTTCAGGTCTTTTCCAGAATTACAGTGGCCATGAGAATGATGGGAATGCTTGTGATGCCAGTGGTGACTGTGTTTTCTAGCTATCATTTTATCTTCGCCATGGCTGTCATACTCTGAATCATGAAGATCATGTCCTTGGGCAGCATGTGAGACATCATTGTGAGAATGGTGCATATTGTTGTCCTCCTCTACAGTCAAGAAGTTTTTGGGAGGGGATTCCAGCTGCCCATCTAAATCAGTTAATTCAGTTTCATTGAGTCGATCTTCAGAGAGAACCGAGTCGTCTGCTCCTGCATTGAACCAGATGGGAGAGATGCTGCGTTAGTTCTGGTTTCAAGTACCACAAACAACTGCTGCACCACTGAGCTAAGAATTCAGCTGATTTGTGAAGCATTTGAACACATCCCAATCTAATAACTTTCCAGTCAACCTTTAGCCAAAAATAATTCTCTCACTGCCCTATTGTCACCAATTTGCACGTGCAGCATATGCAAGGCAACAGCCCTGTATCCACAGCACACAAAGTCAGTTTTAGCCAGATGTAGCCTTGTATCTGTCATTTTGCTACTGACAAAGTTTATGGTTCAATGCTAGAAAAGGACAGTTGGCAGGACTGTAATCATGTCTTATAAATCTCTATGCATGCACATAGAGATCACAACTTTGCCTTCACTGAAGCACATCAGGATCTGCCACTGATAAAACTGATCTTTAAAACGTTTCTGTGTTGTGTCTGTGTCAGACACTTGTGTCATACAGTGAGCTCCTTCACTGTACCTCACTACCCTGCTAAAAATCAAAGACATTTTTACAAAGACACACAAAGTGAAAACAATGCAGAATACATACATGTATGAATTTTAAATCTACTAATATTTCTGAAGTATTAATAAAGAAATTAAACTGGTAATCTTTGTTCCAGGAAACAAAACTAGCTGAGGAAAAAAAAAAAAGCCATTCTAGGTAATTTCGTTATTAGGTCACAGTAATTCAACAAAAGAATATTTCAGAGTCAAAAATAAGCAAACATTAATCAGAATTTTTAAAAAAGGCACAGAGTATATAAGCAGCAAAGATTTCTAGGTTAACAGGCTTTTAAACATCATTTGGAAGCTTTATAAAAAGACCTGGAATGGCTATTCAGGTCAGGGGTAGTGGCAGTGCAGTTCAAAATTCAAATTCAGCATGGGCTTCCAGTGCCTGCAGTATGATTTACTACTAATCAATAGAGTGCACTTTCAGAGGAACAGTGTTATGAAGCCAGTACCTACTCCATGTTATTAGAAGCAAAATTCCTCTGATCTCTCATCAAAAGAAAATGGAGGCATTTCAAATATATCTACCACCAACCTAACCTCACAGCTGAAAGACTTTCTATGTCCTATGTGGAGAATGCTACAATCCTAACTCTCTCTCCTACAAACCATCCAAATTAACAAAACTGTATTTGCATAAATACAGCCTATGGACTCTTCATCAACAAATCAATTCAAAAGTCATGCAGCAATGGAATGGGAAGTTTCTGAAGAAAAGCTCTTCCCTTCCCTCACTTCTTCAATAAGGGTGACATGGCATTCTTCCTAAGTATATACTGCATGACATTCAGACTGTCACAAAGGAACAGTATGTGGAAGTTATTCTGGATACTTGCGGAACATTCAGGATACTTGGTTGCATTTATGAAAACAAATTCACTTTGTTTAGCCTTCTCAGCCAAACTATAACTGATCAGAGGCTGGAATCTTCAAAGTGTATCAGATACCCCCTCTCAGGTTGTGTGTATTCATTTTTATCTCATTTTTCCCAGGATTGAGTTAGTCAGGCACAGCTTAACAAAAAAACACTCCTAAAACAAATGAAAAAACCCCCCTAAGAACCACGGCCACCCAAATCCTGACTGCTTCCCAAGTCTGAGAACCATTTCTATTGCATATTCAGAGTGCTCTCCTCTCAAAGGAAAACAAAATAAAAACCGATTTAATAGGGAAAGCCTATTAAGTCTTATTAACAATGATTTGCATAATAGCAGCAAAACTGTACAAGAGGTTACATGCTACATGCCATACGTTACGTGCCATTACTTTGAATCTCATAATCATGGAAAATTCTGAAAATAAATGCCTACCTGCAAGGGGTTTGAGCTGAAGCCAGTCAGCATCTGGTCTATTATTTAATTTGTGATCAGAAAGTTTCCTTCCAATTGCTGATTCTTCAGTCTGGTTTTTTTTGCACCATTTCTGCTTACTCTGCAACAGCAAACAGGTAACATCTGGTTTATAAAAGGACATTGATGGAAATATAAGAAAAAGAAATGCTGTAAAAAATATTCTCAAAGCAGACAAAGTTATTCTCTTACTATGCTAACCAGAAGTATGTGACTACAGAATATTCATCTTTATAAGGCTCAGCAATGTTATCTATGCCAGTGGAAATTCTTAGCTACCCACCACAGCACCTCTCTCAGGCGCGCGCGCACGCACACACACACACGCAGTATTTCACTTCAGTAACAAAAGTACATCATGACAAGGACAGCCCTGAAACACATGTATGCAGAGTTATTATATTTGCTTGTTTTCTTCAACAATACACGAAGAACAACTCCTCTCTTTTGTTGAACTCCTAAGTTTTATGCTCCCATAACTTCCTACTACTTTCCTCTAGAGAAAAGTTTGCCACTTTCCTATCTGCAGCCCATACAACAGAGACCATAGATTTGCCAAAGCAGCCTAGGGGATTTCATTATTTAATTAATCTCAAAGAAGATATGCCCCATGTGACAGCTTTTCTCTCTACCAGATATAATACCTCCTCCAGGACAGAAAACTTTTTGCTGCCTGTCCAGCTGAGGCAGCAAGTCTGATGTGAAAACAAAGAACTTTATATTTTTTCACACTGACTCTGGGAGCAGTTATAGTTTCACCAAAATCCTTTTCTCCTTGAAGTCAAATGATGGGGGCAAAAGCTAAAAGTTTATTTATATTGACTGCTGAATATGGAATGAATATTAATCTTTAGTGGCTTGAATTTCTACTGACTGTCACATTCCCTCTGAGGTACTCACTCTCCTTTAAACTACCATCATGCTCCTACCCCTACAAATCCAGTAATTTTCAGGGAAACAAGTTAAAAGTTGACTAGCAATTCATAGAAAGCAGGAGGTCTGCAAATTTTGGCCTTTTCTCATGTGGAGAAACCAAATACCTCAGTTACACTGGCCTCGTTAGCTCACAAGATACAGTTAAACCTCTTATAAATTGTCTGATTGTCTGGCTCTATTACCAGTTCTTTCTTACCTACTGCCTTTCATGTTCTTGCAAAAACATCACAGTACTTTAGAGAGATGTCTTTTACTCAGATCTGCCTCCAAATACATCTCACCAAAAAGCTGCAACCTCTCCCATCAGATTTCTACTTTCTTTCCAAAGTACCTTAGGAAAAGCAACCTCTTTTAGAAAAGGGTTGCCTCACATAAAATAAAACAGAATGCAAATAAGCAGCACTTGTTCATGTTCACAGAGTAATGAATCATCTCACAGACAATTCCTCAACATATGGAAAATAAACTCAGGTAACATGTTTTAAAATACCATTCAATTTCAGTGCCTACCTTTTGTTTATTGTAATGCTTGTACATTCTTATACAATGTTCAATGATAAACAAAACATAAATGCCTCCAAGTGCCACAAGTCCTTTTAGCACAGGATCATTTTCTTCTAGAAACCCTTCAGTCCCTACTCCATGTCCGTGGGCATGTCGGTGAGACCGCTTGTGTTCATGAACATGACCTTGGCCATGGTGGTGACTGTGGTTGTGGCCTCCATGTGACTGTTGGGAGAAAAAATAACAACACAGCATGACCTGGTGCAATCAGGAGACTGAAATTGCTCCTAGCTCAGATGACAAAAATATGTAACCTTTCCAGAAAAGTAGCATAAAAAAACCCTTTTAAAATGGCATGTGATTTTGGGGAGATTTTGTTTGGTTGGTTTGGGCTTTGTTTGTTTTGGGTTGTGTTTTTTTTTACAAAGATAATTTATCATATAAATTTTTATTAGACTATTCATTACCCTAATCAATAATATTCTTCTGGGAAATGTTTAAGGGGGGAAGTGAGATTTTTTCTGTCACAATGCTGAAGATAATAAGACTAGCACGCAGAAATGTCACAAGGAATTATCATTCCTAAACTCCCATTAGCCACTAAATCTCATGGATTTTTTAACTATTACAGTCAATTACAACTGTAATTCTGATCTGAAATACAAACTTAAAAAAAAAAATAAATGACCAAATATTTGTATTAAAATTTACACAAAGAAAACACGTAAACACTAGGCTTTTGTGAAAAGAAGGTTAACAAAAGTTAAGGAACCATTTCCCCTTCTAAGAACTGCAGTAGCCATCACAGCTTAAAACCTGCTTACCTTTTCGGGAACTTGGACAATTTCTTGATTCAGTAAGTTAGAGGTTACTTTCTTCCCCAAAAGCTAGTAAACAGGAAGATTAATCCCCCTGAAATACTTTTAGGTGGTACTGATATACAAGTATCAGGAGACAGGAGACAGTAACACTGCTACATTTAAAATGTTCCTGTCGGTCTCATTCGGTGTTTTGAAATACTGTGATAAAAATTAAATGATGAATACACACCTGCATTTTTCTTTTCCCTTTTTTTATAAACATATTTCTTTTGGTCTCAAACATTGTTTGCGGATGTTCCTCATAGTCAAGTCAATCAACATCTGCATTAGTGAACAATGATTTGGTGATACTTGCTATATGATTCTTAGAAAATTCCATATAGTTACAATCAAGAATAACACGTAAGGAAACAATACTTACATGTGGCAACAGGTGGAGCAGTGCGTCTCCACTCATTGTTCCTACAGCCAGAGCTACCAAGAAAGTTAGAAGAAATTTGAAGCACCATTGGTTAATGATGGGAATCAAGATCACACCTAGCAAGGAAAGCAGGCTAATGACGGTGATAGAGATGATACCACAAAACCAGGCTGTGGGAAGAAATGAATACAGAAAGGTTATCAGAACAATACTTGTAACACTTTAGAGACTCATAAATTACTTTTCTTAATAAGGTGACTTTAACTAAGTTTTCTCGTTGTTCATTCAAAAGATGCTGAAGAATAAAGGCAGTACTGAAGTCCACAGCAAAAAATACACAGGCTTATTCACAGTACAGCACAATACAGTGAAAGATATCAGAAGACAACCTGCTAAAAAAGATCTCAGCAATTGTTCCTGACGGTAAGTTCTAGGCTTTGCTCTGTAGCTCTCAATGAAACACAAAAACCAGCACTAATTCATATTTAACATTTGTTTTAAACATGATTCTGATGCAAAATTTAACAGCAACCAGTATTTCTCCTCCTTTCTGGGAAAGCATGTTCAGTTAGGCACCATCTCTTCACCTGCTGCTCTGAAACATTTATTTTTGAGAAATAAGTAAGACTTAACCTTTGACAGAGGAACTTTAAATCAAATACTCTAGTAAGAGTTTGAAGAGCTGAAGCAACTTGCTACAAACAAAAAGCAGTATATATTTTTTTCTGAGAACCTCTGTTGTCATTAGAAGAAAAAGGGATGATGGGATATGGTACACTCAACAGAAGCCTGTAATTAGGGAAAATGTGCAAATTAGGGGTATGGAGAGGAGACAAGAAAAGAATTAATATGTTGTGGTTGCTCAGTGATTTTTTTAATTTTATAAAATCTATAATTTAGCAGTTAAATGTGCCAAGAATTCTACCTGTACCAAAAATGCTACAGGTCAGACTTGACAAGACTTTGCCACTAGGGTTGTGGCTGTTGTAGGCCAGGTCTGGTTCAACCCCCAAGCTTACACCATTTCCTGTTTTAATTTTATTTTGGGATATTAATTCTTATGAAGTTTGCAGCTGTCATTCCACAAGAGTGCAGAAAAGGAAGCAAAGGGTACAAGATCACATCCACCAGGAGAAACTGATCATAAAAAGCTTCAGAAAGGCCACAAAAATGCACTATGCACTGAAATGCACATTGATACTGAGAGGGAAAAAGCTGGTTGGTAAAGACTGCCATCAGATGAGTAACTAAAAACCTGAGGCTGGAAAATGGGAATTCAAAAGCAGGTCTAGAGTGGAAGCAGGACCCTGCTGACCAAAATACCATCCTGATACAGCCTTGATTCACCCTCAGAGCACTTCAGTCATGTACTCTGGATTAACAGGCTCTGCTGAAAGAAGCAGCATACATGACTTGTCATTCAATACTGAATCCTGCATGCACAAGTAGCCCAAATAAAAACTGCACAGCCATTTGGCAGGATACTGGATCTCCCATCTGGACACAGTCATTAATGATGTTTAGTGCCAGGTTAGATGACCAACAGCATGGAGAAAAATGGAAAGGAGATTATGCAAAGTGGCTTAAGTTTCATCGATCATAGCATCTCTGAAGGGCTTACATACTCTTACGAATGATACAGCATCTAAACATGGCACCATGATTAAGATGATGCACATGAGAATTAGAATATGTACTCTGTGAATCTCTCAGATCTTGGTCATAAACTTAATTCCTTAATCTCTTGAAATTTAACCTCTTAAAACATGGTGTGGAACCAAAGTTATGAGCAAAAGTTTGCTGTTAAGTCAATGATTAAAAATCTACTATATACAAAAGCTTTTCAAGTATTTACCACAGCTAAACATCTGTCAACACTTCCACTGCAATTTATGAAAGACAGCAGTAGTAAACATAGATTTAAAAAGTATACTCCCTTATGAAATCACAACAATGGATGCTGCCCTTAGAGTAACTGCTTTAAAAATACTAAATTTTTTTTTAGCTTAGAACTACGGCAAGAAGGAAATCTGATTTTCATTCAAAGGGCATACACAAAAAAAGAAAACTACCAACAGAAGATTTTGATTGAATACCTCTCATATGCTTAAGAGACAAGTAATACAGAATAACTGACACTGGAAGGCAGAAAAGAGAACTGTTGTCAGAAATGGCAATTTACATGCTCTTGCATCTTGCTTAAATCTTTATGTTTCTGAAGTTCACAAATAATTCTGGATGTCAAGGCTATAAATTTGCATCACTGCTACAATATAAAAAGAGTAACACCTGAAATTGTATTTTGCAGTGAATAAACTGTGATTAAGATGAACAAGTCGTTTCTGAATTAACAGATCCAGGTTAAATCTATTAGGAAAATGTGTGCCAAAGTAAAACTGCAACTTTCCAGCTCTGAGATAAGCAGATGGACCACTTCAGTCACACTGAAAGAAAAAGACAAAGTATTTTAAAAGATGGAAATAATTCAATCTGTGGACAAACGTACTCATCCTTAGAGGTATTTCTGTCTCCAAATATTCTGTACCTTGCTGTGGCAGAACACTCCTGCCTGCCAGTGCTGAATGTTGTTATATTATCTCTTAAGCTCTCTGGAGATGGCAAAAAAAAAACCCCAAGAGCCCCACTTTTGTTAAGTCAGACTGAGTGGTGCTGAAAACGTTTCTAGTCTTAACTCCTGCTGGGCTGTGGAACTGCCAGCAGACATGGTGGCACCTGGTTTTCCTCAGCAATCTGGGGATGGCCAGGGGGGAACCCTCTGACAATGAACAGGGTCCCCAGCCCATGGGGCAACTCAGGCCAGACCAGTGAATGAATGACTGTGGGTCACATCTAACCTAGTCTGTGAAAACAGAGCTCCCTGCCAGATGCTGGATGGGTTTAGCCTTGGAGTAGCGGGTCAGCCAGGATGCCTGCCCCTCAGGTTGGGACAGCACCTAAGGAAACTTCTCAAGACTGAGTGACCTCATCTTCTGGTGAGTGATGTGTTTCTTCTAGACAGATCTTCAAATGAACATTGTCCCTGTTGGACAAGTGACTCTGGGCACCTGAGGGGGAGGCTTTCCTTTTTGTCTGAGCGTTCACATGTGCAACTATCACCATCATCACAATCCATGTTAAGATTATCTATGTTAAGACTAGTCAAAAAAAGCTTAGTAATTCTTTAGTAGCTGTGGTGTAGTGCATTAATATTCCTGACTGACATCTGAATCTGTGGCATTATTTTTTATTAAACAGTGTTGCTTAGAATAAATATTCACTCCTAATTAACTGCTTTGTTTTTTTGGGTGCCTCTGTCACACCTGCCTACGTTCCTACTACAGCAGGGTCCAATATCTAAAGATATGTGGTAAGAATCCAGGCCAAAATAGCTGGATGTTAGACCTCAATGACAGAAGACTACTAAAGAAAAATAAGCAAACATTAAATTAAAAACTGAAAATAATGAAAAGGGATAAAAAGGTACAAGAAAGAAAGGTATTAATGCCTGAGCAATGGTTACTTAGGAGATGCTGTTACACCACCAAACAGGATGCTGTGTCTCCAGACTCAGAGCATATTGTCTCAAATTTATTCTACCAAAAAAGTTAAACTTCAACCACTCCTTTACAGCCAATGCTAAGTTGTATGACCTTTCAAACTGTGAAGTTAATGCTTGCAACAAATGATTTTGAAGGCTTCAGATGTTATACACCCACCTGATGCACCTGTTTTATCGTTATTCTCAATCGATGCGTTTTTACTTCTCATAAAATCTTCCAGCTCATCATAATGCACAATGCAAAGCCTTCTCTCAATCTGGTACAGCAAAGCAGGACACAAGTATACAAACAATTCAGGAGATATTGGAGAGCTGGTTTCCAGACCATAGTACCGTAGCAGCTGGGTAACGTTTAAGCACTGCAAGAAAATTGTACAAACAAGTTAAATATGAAAGCAACTACTTAATTAAAAACCACAGTTATGGATAAATTAGCATATGATTTGAGAACACAACCAGAAAGTACAAACTCTGGCCCCCAACATTCCAGCAGTGCTAAAACGTGTCTAAACTGATCTAAGTGGTCTGCAGGAAAAAAATACCTGCACTACAAACTCAGTGTCCCAACACATACATATTTTTTGATAAATGCAAATTAAGACAAGTTTCCATATTCTTTACCATTACACAGTACAATAAATTAAGAAAGAGCAGCAGAAAAGGAGTGGAAGAATATAAATCCAAAAAAAGTTATCTAACATTTCTCTTTACCTATTAATCTTCTGTGTTTGGAGTTTCACTTTCTAACTCAGTTTAAAACCCAAACTCTGCAGTCACTTTCTTATCCTGACTTCCAGTTTAAAACTGTAATATCAAAATGTCCTGCTTCTGCAGTTAACTGTAAGGGGGAAGGGCAAGTAAAGGTGTGGTCCCGGCAGAAAGAATGAATGCTGAAGGGAGCTTACAACCAAGCACAGTGCTACAGAAGTTAAATCTTCTTTGCTTCACAGTCCCTTAGGACAAACAAACTAGTATGTTGAAAAGATGCAGGTGTTTATTTTAGGAGTCTCTGTGCAGTTTCCAAAAATATTAATGATCTCAGATTCAGAAGGAAGTCCAAAAAAGGTGTGTGTGTGGGAAGTATTCATGAATATGGAGAAGAGGAAAAAATCCCCACCTGTCAGCAGGGTCTCAGAAGGCTTTAGGCATCTCCTTTATACAGATAAGCAGGCAAGAGATTTCTGAGAAAAGATGAGCATTGGGCAGACAGAAATGAAACCCCACAAAATAAATGCAAAACTCTGCTACGTGTATTTTGCTGTGGTCGCAAAGGGTATAGACCTGCAGCTCCTGTGTGACAACAGCAGAAGTGAACTTACCCATGCTCCAACTCACACTCACCTCTTCACGCTCACGTTCATCTTCATTATGATCCTTATGACTACGTGTTGAAAAAATAGCATGTTTTCTTACACTGATCTGGTTATGAGATGCCTCTCGCTTGCTGGTGTGGTGGCGTCCATCTGCATTACCTAAACTGGAATCTTGATGTCCATGACTAATAGAATGATCACTACTGTGTTCATGATGGTGCCCATGCAAGTGAGACGCATCATGTTTATGAACACGATTGTGCTCATACTGATCACTTGGATCATGGTCTGGGGCATAATCCCGTGTAGCATCTCCTGAAGTCTCACTGATCTTCTTTTGCTTCTTCTTCTGTTTCCGTTGTTTTCTTTCTGGCTGATCCTGAGTTGTGTTTGTCTCAGTTGAAGGTTCATGGTTTTGTTCTCCATGTTCACCATGACTAACTGAATCATTACGAGAGTGATGTGTACCATTATGGTCATGATGATGTAGACGAGGGTGGTGATGATGGTGATGGTGACTCTGGTCATGACCATGTCTGCCATCATCTTTCACTGATGGTACTGCTGTCTCTCTCTCAAGATCACATTTATGACTTCTCCTTGCAGCCATACCAACCGTTGTTTGGTTTTCTGAATCTGAGTGGCTGTGAGGATGGTTATGAGAGTGAGAATGCTTTCCTTCCTGTACCTCTAAAGCATGTAAGTGAGAAACATGGTCATGGCCAATATCATCATGATTTATCATCACTACTTTTACCTCTCCTAAACCAAGGCTTATTAACAGTTTTTCCAGGCCAAAAAAAGATAGTCTTCCATTTTCCCCATAACGATCAAAAATCTTTTCAATGTAGTATTTTTGTTCATTTTCAGCTTCCAACGTTGAAAATTTACTTGGCATAGATTCTGTTCCTCCATTCTGCAAGTAGGATTCATTTGAGATCTGATAGTCACTATGGCAGTGTACACGTGGTCCTTGGTCATGTCCATCTACATGGCAATGATTGCACTGATGAAAGATAAATGTCAGCAAACAAATGATGCAAAATTTTGTGTGCACGTGTACCTTCATCTCTGTTTCCTACAAGAAACACAAGGGGAAGCACTTAGGTGTAAACTCAAGTCTCAATATTTATGCTACAAACATTATCATTGTCCGGTACCAATTCAATTACTCACAAATCTTTTTAGATATTGGTGCTAACAGAATAACAGCAGCAGTATTTTTACTGCAGAAATTGTATTAATGTACTTTTATTATCCAACAGTAAGACAGGCTCTGTGTATTGTAGAGATGCCATACTTATAGGAGGCAGTTACAAGAAAAAAGATCCGCATTTACAGTCAGTCATAAATGAACAATTTTTGTGTATATTTTCAGAAGCATCTATGCTTATGATAACCTATAATATCGAAAATCTTGTTAAAACACAAGTTACAAAATAATATAAAGTACCTAAAAAGATTAAGAGTGTGTTTTCTTATTTATGGGGATGACAGGCAGGTAATACAGTTGAAAATCCACACATCATTCTCCTATGTGCTGCTCAGATACCTCTACTAAACACACACACTGCACTATTCCCTATTTTCACTGGTAATTAGTGATCTAAAAATAAGTTATCAGTAATCAACTTCAATATATTGCTTATATATCCATATTTTTAGTAACTCAAATACTGTTAATGCTGGCACACTGTAGCTCAAAGTAGTTAGTACTGATTTTTAGAAAGTATAACATTTAGACAATGTAGTTTCTCATCTAGTATTACATGTCAGACACTTACTGTTCAACATCGGGCAATGATAAGGACACTACAGAAGTCTGCCTTGTGTTCAGAGTTGAAACCAACAGACTATCTTACAAAACATTATAGCTTCATTTTGTTTACATCTGCTATTAAAAAACCCCAAACAAACAAACAACAAAGCAAAACCAGAATAATTATTATAAAGAAAACTCTTAAAGAAAAAAAAAGAAATATCCAAGTTTAAGTAAAAATGTTATCAAACATTTAAGAATGCTAAAGATAACCCAAGAACTGCACTTTATGACTTGTATTTTGTAGACTTATTTTGGGTAGAGAATAATTGCTGAAATACAGGTGAGTGTTTTTTAAAAATCACTTAAAACACTGCCAGGGTTTTCTAGCAACACTGATTTTGTTCTGTTTGGTACCAAGCCAAATAAAATGTGTAACATTTACAACAGCTCTGCTAGACACATGCAGTAGAATAATTAAGCCCTCCTCTCAGCAAAGGAGCAGACAAAAAAAGAGAAAGAGGGCTTTTATACTCTGAATTTCACTACTTATGTGTAAGTGAGAAGGAAATGAGAGCAGAAAGAAAGGATAAAGTGAGAGCTCCATCCACCCTGCTTTCTCTGCACTCAGATGCTACCTTTATCCATTTTAGTGGACTCTGTTGCAAACTGTTCAAAATAGTCATTCAACTGTTCAGGTACGTGGGAGGTTCTGTGCTTCTTTCTTTGAACTTGCATTTGCTGCAGTGTTTTGGTAGCCCTGCAGCAAATGCAAGGATGTGCAATAATAGAAAAAGAGGTCAAGTATGCTTTCATCTGTTTTTACACTGAAAGCAGCTTTAGCTCCTTATGCACACCTTCACTAGAGCTGCGACTGACCCATCATTCCTACAATGGAAGAGGCCTGGTCAACACAACCTAAAATGCTACTGACTTCCAGACAAGAGATGGTAAATTGACTTGCACTTCTCAACCCAGCTGCTAACAAACATGTGCTTCATTAATTCAGTCAGGAAAGTGCTTTGTAGCAAAACTAAAAACATTTAAAGCCCATTTTAATTTCCTAAAGTATTAGCTTGACGTTTTGTGCTTAAGCACAAGCAACTACTTTACTGCACGGATGGAGACACACACAGAATTCTCTTGGAAGCTCCTAAACTTGCAACAGGAAGACGGAGAAAAGGAATCAGAGGGAAAAAAAAAAAGCCAAGTGCTATCTTTTAATGATTTTGCATAGCAAATAAATGAGTTAGCACAGAAGACTGGGGAAAAAGTTTTTCCTGTGTACCTCTTCAGATACAAAAGATGAAAAACCACTTTTCACTGGAGCTTCAAATGCTCTCAACACTAAAAAGCAGAACTCTCTTTTGCGATACTGACCCAGTTACAAATATAAGTTCAGAAGAATATCTACCAAATGGAGGCATCTGCATCAAAACTGATTTCAGGGACATAAGATAGGTCAACGGGTAATCATTGTAGGCTACTGATTTATTTTCATAAAAAGCTGTTCAACCATCAGTAATGACCACGCTTTGTTTCCAGTTCAATCAGCTACATTCCAGTTAGAGATTTAAGGACTGTGAAAGACCTTTTCAAGTAATTTAGTAAGATGAGTTCATTGCCAAAATTTATTGAGATATTTTCATACTGACTTTTTCACTCCTGGACTCTATTTAAGGCATCCCTAATCACTGGGATTAGTACAGAACCAATAAAAAACATCTCACAGCACCTTCCAAAAGCTTCTTCCATTTTCCTTTGAGGAAACAGCAAAGCACAGAGTTGTTACTGGTGGAACAAAAAGAAACAGGTTGCAAATCTTTATCAAAGCATCTCTGGACTGAATCAACCCTCAGATTGTATGATTTTCTGGAAACTCATTTCCTAACCTTTAAATAAAGAACATACACTCCTTCTCATACAGGCTGATAACTTGGGCACTGTGACTTGCATTATCCCAGAAGCAAAAACTATCTGGCACTAAGTAAAGGTACTGGAAAAGGAGAATTGGCTGGTGACAGATCAACAGAACTCCACATTTCCATAGGAATATGCTGATTTTCATCAACTGAGGATTTACAATGTTGAATGTTACTTAATGTGAAGAGCAGGTTCAGGATCTGGAATAAGCAGGTAAGGTACGTGCAAGACAGATGAACGCCCTGGGAAAAAGACAAAACTCCTCTGCTTGCGTAGAAGAGAACAGCAGCAGGTAAATGCATACAGTTCACTGTAATACTCTAACATATTGTTCAGCATCTTTTAAACTTCATTTTCTCAGGACTGGAGACAGCATCTCAATTTTAAGTAAAATTCAGTTACTTAAAGGACATTATCTTTGTAGCTAAGACAACTTTTCTACCCCTTTGCCACATAATGGTAATACAAGCAGAACAAGAAAAGTAAAATTATTCTCATTTAAACAAGCATGATCCAGACTAAAATATCTCTACCAGGAAACGCATGCCTAAAGCATGATGTTAATCCTTTTCACAATCTCATGATCTCTTTCATGTGACTGGGTCATACAATACTACTAATACATTGAGACTTCAGTCATGCTTCCGTAATTGTGTTCAGCTTTGAATGGTACCTTTTCTCCATGCCCTAATGGTTAAAATAATTTGTAACTAAGTAGCATGATTCATTCCTGCAATACAAGAGATGAGCACTATCAGACAAGTTTCAAAATCAATTAGATGCCTCACTGTTTACAAATAGTAATAACCCTACCAGAATATTTTTTATTTTCTGTTATATAATCTTCTGTATCTTCTCTTGTAATTCTTGTTACCTAACAAAGATGCTTACAAAACAAACATAGCCATCATAAAAAGGCTGAAACAGAACAACTATTAGGAGTTGATTGTTTTTGTCTTTTTAAACAAGCTTCATTATTCTTCAGGGAATTATAAATAGCTGTCATCTTTAACCTCTCAGGCAATATTCATACGTTTAAAATACTGGAAAGCTGAAGTCCAAATTCTATACATTTCAGTGGTATGGAACTGTATAAAGCCGATTTCAATACAAGAACATTAAGACTCTCTAATATCTTCAAAAGAATATGGGAGGGCAGGCCGAGGACAAGGCCTCACCCATGTTGAAAAAAATTCTGTCCGTTATTGCTGTCAGCCTTTGCCTACACCTAATACCTTTTGCTGAACTGCAAACAAGAACAAGTCTTTAAAGACACACTCAGGCAGCAAGATAACTCCACTTTCAGTCACGCTGCAAAGTTAGAACAAAGGTGTAAATTTACAGTGGATAAGACACATAGTTCTGCCACACTGATATTTCAGAAAACACACTCAGTGTTGCCAAATGCATCCCCTACTCACTCATCAATGCAAGCAAATAACTCACACTATAAATGCAGTGGTCATAAATCCCTGGCTTGAGGTCAGTGTATCTGAGCTGTACATCAGAAAGGAGTTACCTTTTTCTGTATGGAAAATTCTAAATATCTCAATGCTAAACCACTGTCTGCCTATGGTGTTTCATCTATTAATCTAAATGCAGCTCTGATAAAAGTTGGTTATTTTTACAGCCTTTAAAATTCAGTTTCTCATGGATTCCTGAAACTTCTCCACAGTGCCTTCTATTTCAATTGTTCTTCTTTTATAGCACTTACATTTTTGAGAAGACATCACCTAAAGCTGGGAACACGAACATAATTTTGGGGGAGAGTTTTGTTTAGTTATCACTAACTGCTTTACTGAAACTAGAAAACTAGTTTGATAGTTAGGCTTTACTTAAAAAAACCCAAACTTTGATTCAAATAACAAGGTCATACAAAATTAAAACTCATCTGGAAGTCAGATCTTTCATTTTAGTGTTTGCAACCCAGATAATTCAGGAATTCTTGTTAGTGTATAACACTGACAAGAATAGCTTAAGCGCCCAACTTTCTTCCCCTAACCGCTTTCCTGTCTGCTCCCAACAATTTTAACAACGTGAAATACTTGTAACATAAATGTGCTTTATTTCTCCCGTTCCCATGTTACTTTTTTCTCTTTTTGTTCAACCTTCTTTCCTTGCTTTCTCTAAAGAATGTTCTGCCTTTTTTTTTTCCATCTGCAGATGAGATCAAAAAGTATCTTTGACTCCCTTAAGTAGTTACTCAACTTGAATCCCACAGTGATTGAAGTGCTTTAGTAAGACTTAATGAGCAACCAGAAAATTCCCACCAAACACAAGCTTCAGTTAAGAGAGAACTGAAAAAAGACAAAATGTTTTGGAAATACAAAGCAACCAAACTAAGATATTCTCTCTGTACAGGACTGAAAAGCTAAGCACTTCTGTAA